GACAAGCAGTGAGACAGCCGTAAAGTGTGGAGTGTAAGCTGTTTATTGTTGCAGTTTATCAATTGTGCGTCAGACCCGGCCACAGGCCAATAAAAAGACAAGACACGACGTGCGTCATCATCAATGGCTAACCCGCCGCCCCAAGCCCCCAGGCCCCAGACCTCAGACCCCGTGCTACAGCCCACAGCCCACACCCACCCAAGCAATTTATTACTTTTGCTTTTGTTTCTCGGTCCTTATTAACATGCGCTCCAACAAGTTGCCCATAAACTTTGCTGAAACTCTACGCACGAATCAATAAGCATGCCCACAGTCACCACAAAAACAATTCGTTCACCTTATCCAATTTGGCTAGTAAACGAATCACAATCAATTTAATAGAACAAAAATAATACAAAAGTAACAAACAATGAAAAAATATTTAAGGAAGGTATTTTTAACATTTGATAATTTTTAATATTTACTAAAACGAAATGAATAAATGTGATTATACTAAATTGATCATACACAAACAGTTTGAGACGTAATACTTAGAATACTAGTAGTACTGATAACAAAAAGTAAGAGTGTCAATAGCGCTTGACTGGGGTACACCCTGTCTAGATAGATAATTTCCTTCCTATGTATGTTTACAACAATATATATGTAGGTGATTACCTATTGATCTGCATTGGTCTATACATATTGCAGTAAAGCATTCCCACGTACAAACTTTACTGCTTCAAGTTTACTTGAAGTAGGTAATCGATCTCCATTGGTTTTCTTATCCCAAATATGACAATGAAACATTAACCAATGCAAAAAAAAATTTGAAAAAAAAAAAAACAGGACAGTAAAGTGTAATCTGACTACTCTTTTATTAATATAATATCCTGAAGCATAAACACCCTTTTCAACCGAAACCTTGGAAGTGCATTGGGTCAATATGTTGATTTTTATTCTCAATGGTGGTCCTTACAGTTCAAGCGTCTTTTAATAACATTATAGAGATTTATATCATATAGAAATCTAGTCAATTATGAGCATGTTAATGATAGCTCAAAATAACTCTACCTTTTAACAAATATTGTATATTATAGAGCTATTATTTGGCTGTATTCTTTTATTTCCTTCACCCTCTCATCCTCGCTCGCTGTCTGCTATAGATAGATATTAATTCAGCATTTTGCTTTATGCATCTGTATATATTTAATATATTATATTCAATTTATTATTGGTTTAACCAGGCATAATAAGTTTACAGCGCACATTAATTAAGTGCATTTGTATCCCTAGCGACCTGCCCACACATAATTAATGTGCAACTACCGCAAACTTCAGAAACGGGTGACATCAACGCACACGAGCGGACTGCAGCCATCCGTCCGCCCGCCCATCCGCCCACACAAATGCTGCATAAATGGCCATGTGGCTGGCTGAGTGTCAAGGTCAGAGGAGCTGACAATTCCTAGAAGACCAATGCCAAAGGTGAAGAGCGGACATAAAAACACCAACAATAACGTGTGCGATGGCAAGAGAAACCTCAAATTACCGTTATATGGCATCACGCATGACCACCAACACACTCACACGCACACGCACATCCACGCACACACACACACACACACCCAGCAGACGTATGCAAAGAGGGGCCACCGCACACACAGCTTTGTGCATTATTCGAATTTGAACCTATCAAATTTCGCACAAATCATAACCGGGTACATAAGCCTGTGTACACACTTACATAGTATATGTATATGTTATGTGTGTGTGGATGTATGCATCTATATATGGGAAACAGTTCAGAATATTTTACTTGAATATTGTAGCTGGCAAGCATTGCGGAATTTTTGCTCGCAACTTATTTGATAACGAGCTAAACATAACAAAAGGCTGGGTAAGTCAGTTCATTTTGATTCTGCTGCCGCGGCTGCTTCTGATTCATGACAAATTGCCAGTGCTTCTTCAATCTTCTCTGATAATTATGGGGTATTGTGCGCTATTCCTTCTTTATATTCAGCCGTCTTCTTCATGTTGTTGTTGTTGTTGTCATATCGTCGCATAAATTTCGCAGCGCTGCGCTGCGCTGTTGTTGTGGGTGGCGGAAACGAAACGAAGCAACTGCACAATAGTGATGCGTAATGTGTATGTATGTAGGTATGCATGGATTACCTGCGACTTTTGAGTGAATCGTTCATTGGCTGCAAATACATACATCTGCACTAAAGATATAGAACACCTGATAACTAGCCACAAGTTACCGATTAGTTCTTATCTTGACGATAGCATATCTGCCTACTCTGTTATCAGAGTTACTATTTGCAATTTCATACAATATTCACATACACTGCAGACAGCTAAAATCACATTATAATCCAAGTCACTTCCATTGGTCATCTCCAATAAACAATTCCCATACAAACAATATACACACACCTACGCGCGTACATACACACACTCACAGGTCATCTGCAACATTAACACTTACGGTTTCTAGTTCACATCCATTTATTATCTTTAGAATTAACTTGTTTATCTATTTTTTTTTCCTTCTTGTAAGTCCACAATCAAAAATCTCAGTAGCGGCAGCTACCAAAGAACAACGCAAATGAGCTACGAATGTTTTTTACATTTGTGGCCACTCAAAAGCATCAAACAGTTACTAAAATGTTATTAACAGCGCGTAAACATTTGCCTCTGGTAAAAATTCCGTTACATTAGATTGATTTTTCACTCAATTTTAAATTGTTTTTAAGTGTGTCATGTTAAGCAGATGGGAGGAAAATCAATGCTTTGATTCATTTATATTAAAGGGTACGCAATTATTTTTTTTATCATAAATAATAGAAATACTCATACAGAAATATAACAGAACAGCTGTTGCACGATTATTTTTCTACATAAAAAATTGCACAAGTGAACAGAGAATGATTCGATAAAAATTGGTCTTAACAGCGATACAAATTAAAATGCCTACCAATGAGCGTGAAAAATGATTTGAAACACAGATGGCGCTATCAATATTTCAAAGTATCAAATATTGTGCGATTTTATTGAACTAAAACAATATATAAAGAAATTTGAAAAAGAAACAAATATATAAAGGCCGTTTATGAAACATATTAAAAAACTCGCGTTCAGTGTAAATATATGATGAAATTGATTAATTGAAAGCATATATGAGTTATCAGCAATGAGATTCGAATTTTACATTTTGTCGCGCCAACATGGACATAATTGGAATTGCGCAGTTTAAATTACGACCTAGAACTTGTGGGAGGCCAACTGCAATGCACTCTCCCACTTGGCGGCATTTAAATCTCTCGTGGTCGAGGTCTAGGTCATTGAAGTGTGGCTATTGTTATCCAGTGGCAGGGTCGCACTCTCACATTTACATACGCATTAGACACACACGGACGCGGACACTCTCACTCACTCACTCACTCACATAAACACACACACATGTCCCTACATTGTTTGTTTGCACATATTCGCAAGCTGGCATGTGTGTATATGTGTGTGTGCATGCATGATACAGCCGCACACACAGACTCACAGAGATATAAATGCTCCCATATAAACTCCACCAACACATGCATACCTCAAGCACGTATGTGTGCGTGTGTGTCGTTGTGTGTGCAGACATGTTTGTATAGTTCATACTGCAACAATGGGGCTGAAATGTATGCTTCGAAATGTGGCCAGCGGCTGCTGCTCCACACTCATACGACCGGAACAATCGAGTGAGTGACATGGTATTGTTCTGCATAATTGATGCGCAATTTGTTTGGCTTTGAAATCGAAACTATGTATATGGCTGGTAACTGGCTAAATGTCAAAACAATTAGTAATTGGGCAACTAACCTGTTATTGAATCGCCACGCGAGTAGCTGTAAAATCTTTGGAACCTTCACTGTGAGCAGCCTTCGTCTGTGCGTGTGTGCATATGTGTTTGTGTGTGTGTGTCTCGCTGTGTGTGTTTGTGTGTGTGTTGCAGGTTATATTGCTGCCTGCCTCAAGCGAGTTTTCTTGTCGTTGTCTGCGATTTGTATTATGTACACTTATTTGTTGGTCCTTACACTATGGTGTGACTATGTTAATACAAGAGGATATTTTATTCAGTGGTCGCGTTCGCCGTTATTTTTCTTCTTTTTGGTATAAATTTAGATCACGAAAAAAGATAGCACATTGTATACGTATACGATTAAAACAGGTCAAAGTTGCGCTTTTAAATTAAATTAAAATGTACGCTTGTTTTAGTTGTGGCGTGACGAGACGACAGTTTAGCCAGAGAGAAAGTTACACATAAAACAGCAGCAACAGCAGTGGTTGGATATATGTATATCCTGGCGGCTGCCATGCCACAGCCACTTTGAACTATATACATATATTGGAACGCATGCGCGCGGCACTGTGGCGACATCTAGCGTCCATCTCTCACTGCTGCTAGGTGCTGTCGGCCGCGCTGTCGCCGCTAGAGCTCCAATTTTTTAAGGTCCTCGTTGCTTATGAACTCGCAGGCCCTTTTGTATATTACTCGATAGTCTGGAAGAGAGCGAAAGGAACAGAAATTTCTCGATGTTTATTTCCATCACTACTGCACGCACTCACCTTTCTGATATTTGCAGTTATACATGCGCATCACACAGCTGCTGGCGAATGTTCGCAGGCAACCGTCATGCAGGGCACAGACCACGCGATATCCTGTGGGGCAAACGTCGTGACACTTGTTGGGTCCTGTTTGAAAAATGTTGAGAATGAAAATTATGTTATTTGAAAATTTTATTCTGTTTCCGACGAAAAATTGACGCACCTTGCAAAGAGAACAACTGCCCATAGATAGGCCCGATTGAAATTAGCAATGTAAGGAAAATAAGTTTGAAGCCAGGAGCTAGTCCGGTTTTCATTCTGACTTGTTTCTCGTGTGCAATTTTTGTAATGATATTAAAACTCAACATTCATTCGATTTGTCATTTACTTCTGCCGTGTTTATTTGTTTTCAAAAATTGTGTCAATATTTTTATAAAATTTATAAAAATACTTTAACAGTTGTTGGGGGTCAATAACAAGTGATCGGTTCGCACTGCGCCATCCGAGAGCTGTGCACTTTCGTTTTTGTCTGATGAAATATTCAAGTTCCGGTACTTCGACTCAACTCAATTTTAGTTAAGGCACTTATTGCTTGCATTCGCCCTCTTCTACGCTGATATATGCTGCAATGATAATGTTATTTCATATTTAGTGGGGGTATTTCGAGTACAGTTGTTTGATATTTTCATACGTATTCCGTTTACGCAGGAGTGTTGATCCAATAGGCAGCGATTGAGGAAAGTTCTGGTGCTCGTTAAGCGGTCGCCTTCCCTGCCAGTATCTCCGAAAGTGGCACAGACTCCACTGCCCCCCAGTGGGCAGATCTGAATGCAACGTTTCTTACACGCCTCTCTTGATGTCCTCACCAAAGCTAAACGATAGACAGAGATTGTTAAATAAATACATACATATATGCCTAGAAATTCCCATGCAACTCACCCCTCTGGCAGCTGTTCACACGATTGCAGTTCTCCGATGAGAATATGCAGCTATTCTGGAAGCCTCGGCAGAATCCATCGACAATACTCCACACCGGTTCCCTGTAAAAGGGATCACAGCGAAATGCGAGATCGCATTGTCGAGGGCAACACCGGGATAGAGCCGAGCTCAGACTGAAGAATACGGCGCACAGGGCGACGAAGAGCAACAATTTACCCATGTTGCGGTTGTGAAACTAAAATTTTGATCCATCTGAAGCTCGCATTTATACTGATTTGCCTGTCAGTCGTTATCATTTGCGTTGTTTAATTAATCACAATATGTGCTTTTGAGGTAGCTATGTTATACATTTTTGTTGTATTTCATTTCAGTTGTGCAAATTCTCATTTGTGTACGTGTATAAAGCTAAGTATGAAAAAAAAACCGAAACTAAACAGAATAGCTAAAAATTCTATTTAGAAATAATACCCAAAGTAAATATTTTAAATTTCATAATACTTTATGTACGTCACTATTCAAACTATAGAATAGAACAGAAAGCCTAAGTGTTCAGTTGTTCATATCTCAAGATATTTATAATTAAATAAACAATATTTGATGTGTAAATAAAACAAAAATTTCTGATCCAAAAGAGTAGATAGAGAAGCGATAGAGAACTTTTTAGTCAATAATAATTGTATTATTAGATATAATTTTTCTTTTAACATATATTTTTTAATATATAAAAAATATATCTTTATTGTATATGAGATTACTATTACTTCATTAAATAATATTATTAAATAAATTTATATTAGAAAGTTGCAATAAATTTTTGGAAAACAATATGTAATGTAATAAAACAAAAACAATTTAAAAAAAAATATATATTTAATATAGTGCATTTTTTAATCTCTAAGTGCTTCACTCATTCTAAAAGCTTTTGATATATTTTAATTTTATTAAATATATATATGAAAATTTATATTTAAAATCCCTTTCTTCCTAAGACAAAAATTATTATAAACTTGGCTGCAGCTTAGTATTTTAAATTTAAATTCTCTTTAAAGCCAGTTGAGCAATGTACAACAACGAATATACCCTTTATACTAAAAAAAAAAAAAAAAAAAAAAAAAAAAAAAAAAATATATATATATATATGAATAGCTAATAAAAGTAAGAACTGTAGATTTTTTGTCTTATTTAATTCGCTTTACTTTATTAACGCTCTAAAATGATAATGGGAAGTCTTCTTTTGTAAAATTAATTTCAACCATATTTTATTTTATATACTTCAGGGAAATTGTGAACCTATAAAGCAAAAGTAACAACAGATGAATCAATGAATCTGCCCCAACACAAAGCTCAATAGCAGATTCGAAGGGATTTGTGTATTCAGTTGTAAATAATTTGGCATGAAATTTCAATTTACCATACATTATTTTAATTGCCAAAACACAACAGGCACCTTGCTTTCTGGCAACAATATCTTCTTCAATTGTGCGCTGGACCTGACTTGACTGGACTGTACTGAAGTCGAGTGTACTGGACAGAGAGACGCTTTTGAAAGTCATCCACATGTAGAGATGTTGTTATGCATGTTGTTATACTCTGTAAACATTAAAGATCGAAGATGGTCAGGCACGCCCAACTTTTTAATATTACTTTAAGAATTTTTAACACTTTCATAATTATTATTTTTATCATTTTATTAATCCATGATATTTAGATCTGGTAACGTAGTAATGCAACTGATTTATATACTAATAATAATTAACCTTTCCACAGCAATTTCTAGCTGTAAAGCTCTAAAACATACAGCTCTCAGAAAATTCTTGGAATAAAAACGTTAAGTTTGTATTGTTATTACCGATTAGCCACACGTCTAAAGGGCGAATCGAAAAATCGTCACACTTTAAATTACAGATATTTAGCTAACTATGCCTATAAATACAGTCCGACGTGACGCAGAGTGTATTTAGTTCAGTCCGATTTCAATAACGAAAATTCATAGAGCACGTTTTAGGGTATTTGTTGGCCGGGCACATTCGCTTCTTCTGTGATAACTTTACCGTCGCATGTTTTTGTTTGCCCCTTTCGCCAAAATTGAATACGCTTGAAGCACTTGACTGTACAATGAAAAGGTAATGAATCTCTTCTTCAATTCGACGTCCTCTATTTATATGTAAGCTCACACTAACTAAAGAAGAGTTGCACTTAATATGATTTATGACAATATTTGGCAAACACTTTATTTATTCGGTTTATTGTGCTCATCTGTGTTAGTCCCTTAGTTTTCTCCTTCTCTTCTTTTAAATTCTCCTTAGGCTACTTATGGATATCATTTGTTTTGATTTATGATTATAAAAATGTTTTTATGGGATTTTTTGCACTTTTTGCACTTGTGCTTTTTCCGTCGTTTGGTAGTTGGACAGGGCGTCGTAGTGGTTGGACAGGGCGTCCTTGTAGTCGGACAGGGTGTCGTGGTTCGCTTGGAGGTCGGACAGGGTGTCGTGGTTCGCCTGGTGGTTGGACAGGGTGTCGTGGTTCGCCTGGTGGTCGGACAGGGTGTCGTCGTGGTCGGACAGGTCGTCGTCGTGGTCATGCAGTGCCTCGTTGTGGTCGGGCAAGGCGTCGTGGTCGAGCAAGGCGCCTCGGTTGGCTGCACTATTACTGGATTGTGTGGCTTGTGTGGCCTGTGTGGCTTGTGGGGCCTGTGTGGTTTGTGTGGCCTGTGTGGCTTGTGAGGCCTGTGTGGCCTGTGTGGTATGTATGTCAGTTGTGGTAGATAACAAGGATAGTAACAAGGCTGTATACAACAAATGTTATCGTAGTGAATTCCCATTCCTAAGTCTCCCATCGCAACATGCTCGCGTATGAAATCGCAGTTCGAGGCCTCTACGAGCCACAAGACGCTCCACATCCAACGGGTATACATTGCGGCATACTAGACATTTGACGACCTATTGTTACACCTGCCAGCAATTGCTATGTAACGAATCGATTCGTGGCAGAAAATGAATTTTATAAATGGAAAATCGAATGGTCAATGCGGTTGACCCACAGAAATGTATTATTTCAGTCAAGCCCAGATTAATCTTCAGCTTTGTGCGAGAGAGAGAGAGTCATTCAATAGCTGGCCTCAAGTTTCACACTCGTGTAATTATCTTGCAAGTGAGGTGTAATAAGTACCTGGAAGTGATTGTTCACAGAAATAATAATAGTGTGTTGGTTTATCTGATATACGAATTGGGATTTACTTTTAATTAATATGCTCGCACATCTACGCAGATGACAATTGTTTTGCTCCCCATGCCAGCGTTCTCAGAGAGGAAACCAGTTTTAGCCAAATGCCAAACGGTCGCTATATAAGCAAGCGGATTTTTTGAATATCAAATATTCTATTGTCACTCTCCAACGCGATGAAGTTCTGTTTGGCGTTAATTAGTTTGCTGCTCTGCTTTGCCCAGATATTCGCCGCCTACGAATGTCCGAGCATATGCCCAGCGCTGTATAAGCCTGTCTGTGGACAGGCCACGATCAAGGGAAGGCCGGTGCGCTGCGAGTTCTCAAACAGCTGTGTGATGGGAGTCAATGCATGCACTAAGGGAATCAGTAAGTTACATATTTCTATATATATAATATTGGATATATAACATATGTTTTGAGTGGCAACTTAATTTAGTCTTACGTGAATACATATTTAGTTTATATATATTTTATTTGATTTAATTTTTGTATTTCGCAGACTGGCAGGAATCGCCTTGTAAAGGACTTTCACCACTGTGCGAAGCTCTGAAGAACTAAGTTGATTATTCAAACATGAAAAACACATTGAAAGTTTTTCCTAATTTTTAAATCGAGTCATTATATAAATATTTGTGATAACCGTATTCAAAAATGGGAACATTCCGTATTAAATACCTAAAAAAAACACTCATAGCTATTCCCTTTATTTCCACTTAATATTTTTCTTACTTTTAAATATATTGGTATGCCAAAACACACGTTGTTGCTTGGCCCTAATGGGCTCATTACAGCCAACAGGTGTATTGGCAGCTAACAAAGTCCAGAGCGAAATAGCTCAGTTCTCGGACGAACCTCATCGAAGATGCTACACATGTGTATAATAGTTTTGTACCTACTTCAAGTGTATGTCAGCCCCTTGGCCAAGTCTCTCATGCTCCGAGTGCCACTGGAGGTGAAGGCGAAGCCTTTGGCCAGTCCGCAATTGCACAGTTTTCTGGCAACAGAGACGCTGAAGCTGCCGCTGGATAATAGAGACAATATGGAGTATTATGGGCGCATTAGCATGGGCACGCCCCCACAGCTGTTCAGGGTGATCTTCGACACGGGCTCGGCCAACACGTGGCTGCCTTCAAGCAATTGCCCGGAGAGCAATGTCGCCTGCCAGCTCCACAGTCGCTACAAGGCGCACAAGTCGAGGAGCCACGTGCCAGTCGGTCACAACTACTCGATGGCCTACGGCAGTGGATATGTGAGTGGATATCTGTCGCAGGACACGCTGCGAATGGCGGATGTCGCTGTGCCCGGCGTGACCTTCGGGGAGACGCTGTCGCACTATCAGCCTGCCTTCATTCGGACCACCTTTGATGGCATCGTGGGCCTGGGCTTCGGCGAGATCGGCTGGCGCAACACGACTCCCTTCCTGGAGCTTTTCTGCCAGCAGCATCTCGTCGAGCATTGCCTGTTCTCGGTCTATCTGCGGCGCATGCCCGGCGAGCTGTACGGCGGCGAGATCACATTTGGGGGCATTGACGAGTCCCGCTACCTGGGCGATCTCCACTATGTGCCGTTGTCCAAGGTCGGCTACTGGCAGTTCGAGATGTCCAGCGTGTCTGTGGGCAATCGACAGGTGGCTGAGAGGATTGAAGCCATCTTGGACACGGGCACCTCGTTTATTCTGCTGCCAATCGATCTCTTTGAGGAGCTGCAGAGCGCCATCGGGGCCGTCATTGTGAACGGATCGAGTGTCGTTAGCTGTCAGATGGAGAGTCTGCAAGATGTTTACTTCCATGTCGGAGAGAAGAACTTTACTCTAAGCCCTGCCGACTATGTGGTTAAACTAGAAACTCCCAGTAATACGATCTGTATCGCTGGATTTATGCCGATCGCAGAGAGCTTCTGGGTGCTGGGCGATATATTCCTGACGCGCATTTACAGCGTTTTCGATGCAGATGCCAAACGAGTTGGCTTTGCCGATGCAGTTATCGAGGAGAATTAGCATAATATTAATAATGATAAAGAAAGGTAAAATATTCATTTTTAAAGGTGTACCAAATAATGTTTCTATATATTTGGGTATAAAGTTGGGCTATTAAAACATAAGCAGTGCTACTAAACTGATTAGGTTTGATATTTTTAAGAAGAATTTAAGTTTAGATAAATTTAAATTTGTTGCATAAAAAAAAAAAAAAAAAAAAAAAAATTATACACATATATAATATAATATAATATAATAAAAGAAAATAATTGTAATTAAATAAAATAAAATAAAGCAAAAATAAATAAAAATGATAATTATTATATTATTAGTATTAATGTGATTTATTATGATTATTTTCATAATTTCTCTACCTTCTAGCTTCTAATATACTCCAATAGAGCTCTTGACCGGAACTAAACATATATTTATATATTTTTTGTTTTAGTTAATGGTATACGAGCTCGTTTTCAGATGGGGATTCACCCATTGATAGATTGAACTATTAACTTATCCAATTAGTGTACAGAATTCATTAACCTTATCAACACGGTCTCTTGATTTACGTCATATTTAATAAGTTAATGAGTAAAATCTGAAATTTGTTTGTTTGCATAGAGAGTTCTCGCTCTATGAACAACTGTTGTGTATGTGTGTATGTGTGTGTTTTTTTTTTTTTTTGTGTAGTGAACAAAACCTGTTTATTTTATCAGCTGCTCAGCTGAACCTATTAGCATTTTAGTAAACATACATACTAATCAACAAAAATATATTCAAATGCTCCAGCTAGTTTCATTTTTCGATTGTGCTATATATTCCCATTACGTTGGGCAATGTGGCAGCAGTTGATGCTTAACAGCCGGAATGAAGCTCATTTACGCTGCTTGCGCATTGCTTGGCCTGGCCTTAAGTCACGCCAGTGCCAGCTGCTCGGCTGATTGTCCCGACACTGAGGATGTTGTGTGGGCAGTCGGTGGCGGTTGCAGTGTCTTCCGTAATAAATGTTACTTTGACAGGGAGAACTGTCACAGGAAGCCGCGTAAGCAACTGAAGCTGTCAATTCAACTCAGTGAATATTTCATTAAAATCATATTTAATTGATAGCACTGTCCATTTCGACCAAGGAGGAGTGTCAAAAGCTCTGCCCCAGTGCCTGTCCACTAATTTATCAACCAGTTGGAGGCACCTATAAGGGCCAAAGAAGAAACTTTGGCAATGCGTGCGAAAAGATTGTGCACACCTGCCAAACCGGCGAAAGTACGTAATCTCGTATATAAACCAGACCCCGAATTGATATCTGTTTTCTTTTTTCAGCTTTCTTGGACTAAAATGGAAACTTTTAATTAAGTAAATGAATTATAGAAATATGCACGGTTATCCATATCTTTTGACAGAGATGTCAGATCGCTTATATTACGAATTATTTTTAGTTTAGAAAGATGGCAATTATTATTTATACAAAGAGTACTCAGATCATACATATATAGGATAGGAAATGTTTGAGGATCTTTTATGAAAAATTTTAATATGCTATAGTTAAATTAATTAAATGACCTTTCCTTATTTGGGTCAGAGATGTCAAAACTAATTAGCTGATCTGTCTTGACCTTAACGTATTTATGGGAATTTTTGTTCATATCTCTAATTTGTTAATTAACTTTTGAGTATCATTAAAAAGATAATATTTTACATAGACCTAAGACTGTTTTTAATGTGATTGTGTTGATATACTTGATTGTCAATCAGAGTCTTTTAAGATAAGCTTTTAAAACGAATTCCAATTAGACGGCTTCTCTCAAAGCAATAATCCCTGTGTTTTATTTGTTAAAACGACTTGTTAGCAAAGTCAAATATTTATGTTAAGAGAAGGCTCGATCAATATAGAAATACAAATTTGGCGTAATTTTTATTGACTCAATTTTAAACTTCAATTATTATTATTAAATAAACCTTTAACAATTTAAAAATAAGATTTGGGTTTCTGTGTTAAGCACTTTCCCTGAAGCTACATTAAATTTAGTCTATATTCATTTGGATTATATAATTGTTATCTAATTAATCCTATAAAAATTCTATTGTAATTCATCTACTATATAATTTTAATTCATCTATATATAATTTTATCATTTTAAAAACAATAAAACAAGTATTATAAAAGTAGCAGAAGTGGTAAAAGGCCTCATAATACTTTCCTAAATTGAAACCTGTTTCAAACCTTAAAGACACGCAAAACTTGTTTACTTTTTATTTAAACCATTTTTTTGTTTGTATTCATAAACTTCAATGAATATTCGAAAAAAATACAGTAGAAATTTCTATTTAGATGAATTTTTACTATATAAGAGCAATTCAGAATGAGTTTGAAATTTGCATACTAATCAAAAGTGAGTGTTATTCGTTAGGCGGCTTTAATCTAACGTATGGCATATGCAAACAAAATTAAGAAGTCTTTCCTCTCATGACCCTGAGTAAATTTTAAAGTGTCCAGCTATAGAGAATATTGTGATACGAGTGATTTGTTTCTGCAATAGAAATTTTAATGTTGAGCTTAACTGTGATCGAGATAACAGATTGAAAATGTGTATTCAATTGAATATGTATATATATATATATATTTTGGATTGCTTGAGGTCAATGCAATAAACTAAAAGAATTCAGCAATCAACTGCCATGAGTCAGAGAATAATTATTTTGATTCATTTATTATATAACAAAAATATAATATTATTAAATTATATCTATGTGGACTGAAGATGGTAGTGATATACCATTTCAATATAATAAAAGCCCAATTAAAGTGCAAGTACGTTTTTCAATGAATAATAATTAAAAGCTGCCGATGAAGCGATAAAATGAATATCTATTGTGGTTGTATAAACAAGCATATAGGTTCGTTACCTGACGGTTCGCAAAAATCCCACGAAGTGACGTCAATGCATGCAAAGTCATATAAAAACGTGACGATGCCGGACAAATAGCCAAGTTACGAGGCAAACCGTCAATGAGAGAGATGTGGAATAGCAGCAAAAATCAATTGGCATTGGCAATCGCTTTGCTTTCACTTCTGGCCGTACTGAAGGAAACGCAGGCGCGACACAGCCTGTTCGACTGCAACGTGAAGTACAAGTGCTCGGCAGAGAAGGATTACATCTGGGCAACCGACGAGGAGCGTTGTCATGTTATCCATAACCGGTGCCTGCTAGAGGTCGAGCAATGTGCGCGCCGTGATCAGGGCAAGGCGGAGCTGGTGGAAACGGATCGAGAGACTTGCAAAAAGACCTGTGAGAGGCCGTGCGAGAGGAACTTTGAGCCCGTCTGTGCTCAGTTCTTCCAGGAGGAGTACATAACCTTCAGCAATGAGTGCGAGATGCGCAACTATATATGCACTAACGAAAGGGGTGAGTAGTTAACTGTTTGAGAGAAACAAGCAATTGATTTACGAATTTCTTAACAGCCTACTCGTTCTACAATCTTGGGAAATGTATGAGGTTTCCTCCATCGCAAAATAGGGAATAGTATAATAATAATTGTTTTGTAGAGACAAAAATTTATTTTTGTATTTAATAAAAATGTCCATACACAAAAGTCGTTCAACTCATTTCACAAAACCAGACAGAGCTCCAATTATTCGGATCTTGAGTTTAACACACTTTGTATTTTTAGTTGTAATTTATAAATATAAAATATGAAGTTCACAGATCAGACATCGCTTCAAACTGGAGCAAATCCAAAGTCTGTAATATATTTTGGGATCAGGTTATTAGATATATCAGATATAAGTATTTAACTTTGTTCTTAATTTGTTTATGTAAGGACAGATTGAAATCTTAATTGAGTGCCTTAGCCAGATTTTGTTGGGAATTGGGAGTTATAAATAAGCCGGGCCTTCTCATTGAAGACATCAGTTGTCCACTAGCAACGCATACAGAACCTTCTGAAGCAATATCAACAATGGCTGCCACCTTCGTTGTCCTGTTGAGCTGCCTCGCATACGGCATCGTAGCCAGCCCCTCGCCACTTGGAAGCTTGCCTGGCGGTCGCCCGGCTCAGCCCGTCCCAGCTCCTGTAGTCAGCAAGCCATCGCCATCTTACTTGCCACCTGCTACGCTGGGCAGACGCCCAGGTGCTGAGCCTCTGGTGTCCATACCTTCGAATCCAGCACAGCTAGCTCTCGGATCTGTTGTGTCTGCACCAGTTGCACAGCGCCCGGTTGCTGGTCGAGTTCCAGTCAACGTGGGTGACATACGCAAATCATCTTACCGTCCGGTTGATCCTGCTTCATCTATCCAGAATCCAGCTGTCCAGAGGCCATCTGTCCAGAAGCCAGCTGTCCAGAGGCCATCTGTCCAGAAGCCAGCTGTCCAGAGGCCATCTGTCC